TCGGTTTGGATAGTAAGAACACCATGCCCGCCCATTACCCACAATATTTGGGTTCGGATTTTACCCATACCCACTAAAAGTCTTTTGGATTCGGGTTTCACCCTACCCAATTAAGTCGGATTCGGGCGGATATCCACGGTTACAGATATTTTTGCCATCTCTAGTTGCAGGAATGCGCTCTGCAACGGTAGTTGAAGAGATCTGTGAAGAAATTCGTCAATAGGCGGGTCGGTTTGGTCGGGTAATTTTCAGCTATACTATTGATGTGACTTGAATCGGATAGTGAGCCGCTACGACTGGAAATCATGGGGGTTCGGGGGCAACAACCCCGATCCACGGTGTATGGGTCGATACACATTTGGGTTGTCAGTTTTGGGTATGGTCTGTAACCGTTTCTTTTACCATATTGGATTAGGTTTTAGACCACATGGAGAAGTATAAATACTTTTCATTTCCTCTGTAATCTGTAATCTACTCGACATAGTAAAACTGACTCTCTCTTGCCCGCGGACGTAGCTAACACACATCGTGTTAGTGAACCATGTATATCGTGTGTCTATTTTCGATTCTCGCTTTTGTATTCTTGCTTTCTTGATTCCTGCAATTTCCCGATCTGTAGCAGCACAGTTATAACATATACGAATAGGACTTTTAATAAACCGGCCCATATTTTCGCCCACACTTATTGTAGCTGAGACACGGAAGAGGTGTGGGCTGACCAACTCCCTTTCTTCTTGTCCCCCTCACTTTTTAAGGAACTAGCAAAAGCCCGCTCGCTATCGCTTCGCGTATCATAAAGATAAATATTTTTAAGAGTAATAGTTTTAATGATGAACCAAAAGTGAAAGTAATCTTATTTCATTCCTAATAATTCTTTGCATAGGTTTGTTATTTACAATAGCATATGGTCGATGAACTTGCATAAGGTAGAGAGGCCCTCGAATAGATGATTTATGATTAAACTTATTTCATGACGTTAAATTTTCAATTTTTAAGGCTTTTTTTTGTTTGAGGTAATCATGGTTCTCCATTATGAAATTTTTGGAATTATTGCAGGTTTGAGAAGGTTAAACTCGCATTGATCTGGTCAAATTAGGTTGGATACCCATGAATTTGGGTTCACTTGTCTTTCTCAAACAAAAGTAAAAACCGTAATGAAAAACTAAAGCTAAAACTCGCTACCGACTCAAAACTCGTCAACACCAGGTTCAACTCGCTTGGACCTGGTTGGACCGAGTTTTGGACAAATTCACACCGGACACAACACGCCAATTACAAAAGAAATAAAACTCGCTCCCGCCGAAAACCTGTAAAATCGGGTACGAGTCCCTTTAGTCCGGTTGAATTAGGTTGTATACCCATGCGTATGAACTCACTTGTCATTCTCCACCAAAAGGAAAAAGATAAAAAAAAATACTAAAGCGGATAAAATTCGCTCATAAACCCAAACTCTCAACACTGAGTTCAACTCGCTTTGATCGGGTCGACCCAGTTTTAACAATTTCACAATTTACCCAACCTGTCAATTACAAAAGTGGATAAAACTCACTCTCGATACGAAACGCGCCAACGATGGGTCAGATTTCAATTGTCATTCTTAACGATAAGGAAAATGAGAAATAAAAAAATTAAAGCGTACAAAACTCGCTTTCGATCCAAAACTGTGCAAAAAACCATATACGAAAACCTAGCAAACAATAAGTAAACACAAAGATTGTAGAATGGAGAGTGAGGTAAAAGAAGGACGTGGAACTTCCCCACTTGCAAAAAACCCTATATTAATTAATTCTTAACGAAAAAGAAAAAGAAAAATAAAAAAAATTAAAGCGTGCAAACTTGATTTCCATCCAAAACTGTGCAAAAAGCCATATACGAAAACCTAGCGAACAATAAATAAACACAAAGGTTGTAGAATGGAGAGTGGTGTAAAAGAAGTACTTGGAACTTCTCCACTTGCACTTGGAGGAGAGTGAGGGCCACTAATGAATAGTAACTCAAACCTAGGCTTTTATATATTAAAATAATTAACGAAAAGGAAAATGAGAAATTAAAAAAAGTAAAGCGTACAAAACTTGCTTTCGATCCAAAATTTTGCAAAAAGCCATATATAAAAACCTAATAAACAATAAGTAAACACAAAGGTTGTAGAATGGAGAATAGGGTAAAAGAAGGACTTGGAACTTCCCCACTTGCACCTTGGAGGAGTGTGAGAGCCACTAATGTATAATAACTCAAATCTAGGCTTCTATATATTAATTTTTTCTTAACGAAAAGAAGTAAAGCGTACAAAACTCGATTTCGATCCAAAATTGTGCAAAAAGCCATATACGAAAACCTAGCTAACAATAAATAAACACAAAGGTTGTAGAATGGAGAGTGGCGTAAAAGAAGGACTTGGAACTTCCCCGGCTACACTTGGAGGAGAGTGAGAGTGAGAGTCACTAATGAATAGTAACTGAAGCCTAGGCTTTTATATATATATATATATATATATATATCTTTTAATTTTTTCTCAACGAAAAGGAAAATGAGAAATAAAAAGAATTTAAGCGTACAAAACTCAATTTCGATCCAAAACTGTGCAAAAAGCCATATATGAAAACCTAGCGAACAACATATAAACACAAAGGTTGTAAAATGGAGAGTGGGGTAAAAGAAGGACTTGGAACTTCCCCACTTGCACTTGAAGAAGAGTGAGAGCCACTAATGAATAGTAACTCAAACCTAGGCTTTTATATATTAACCTGCACTTAGAGAAGAGTGAGCAGCGGCGGATCCAGAACACAGAAGTGCACTGGGTCGCATTTAATTAGAAAATTAGAATAGTAAAAAAATATAATGATTATAATTTTTTACAATATAAATTGTGCACGACGGTATTTTAATTTAGTGAATGTATTAATAATGGAGTCCACATCCATACCAATAGTATACACTGTTTCAAATAAAATACTTGAGCAATCGACTAGAAATCCATCGCTCATTTTGTTGCGCAAATCAATTTTCACATGTTTCATTGTTCAAAAAGTTATATTCGTATTAGCCGTTGAAACGAGCAGCATCAACATTAGACAAATCAATCTACTAATCTATTTGCATTGTATTTCTATCCCTATATCCACCAGCTGCTCTAGTAAATTTTCCAAGGTAACAAACCTCATATATGTTTTAGCATTTTACGTTTTAAACTTTTTGAATTTTTAGGTTTCATTGCTTTTTTAGACGAATAACCTTTGGGGTTAGAATTTATTAGAATTTATAAGCTAAATTTAGAGTAGTGATTTTGAATATGTTCATCTGAATTATTTTTCTAATTATATACAATCTTATTTTAAAATAACAATGACCCGAATATCTAAAATCGAAAAATTCATAAGGCCTATACTAACTATGGATCCAGAGGAGGGCTGGGTCAGGGCCAGGGGTGGCCACCCCCTGGATCCGCCACTGAGAGTGAGAGTCACTAATGAATAATAACTCAAACCTAGACTTTTATATATTAATTAATTAATAATATGAGTCCATTCATTCCACTTAAATAATACAAAGCATGCTAGTGCTAAAAAAAACTAGCTAGCTTCTGATAATCATTGTAATTAACAGAAAAATATAAATATACCGAAAATTATTTGCATGATATATTTGAATGAGTCATTGGTATCAAATTCTTCTCGTGCTTTTTCTGGCTTTTTCACCACAGGCTTGATGAGTTTACTTTCTCAATTAGCAAGCTAACTCGGCTGGGTAAAAGACTAAAAGCTCCCTCTAATCCAATAGTACTCGTCTTGAAATATACACATAATCTTCCTGTTTTTAATTGTAAGTAGCTCATCGTGTCTAGATAATACGAGCTAAGATATACATAATACAGTATAGTATGTTGGTTTGTCCCCTGATAAGAGGACACAGTTTGTGCCCTAAAGCTGGGATATCACATCAGTCACACACTTCTCAAAACACAAATCCAAAACGAGATCCATCTCGTCGTCCTCATTCCCAGGCCCCATCGGCCCTCTATCTCTTGAGCAATATTATTCTAGACTAATAAATCATTTAAATGGCCAACCAACCAGAATGGGCTCTCGTTGGATTGCATCACCTACAGAAGAAGAATCCATCCACAACACTATATTTTTAACGAATCCTTTCTTTTAGATAGCAAAATCTGTTGGCTTTACAAAGTCAACTTCCACCATCATCATCTTCTTCCATCTTCCAGCTGATCACGACATGGCCAAAGCCACCCATTTATATGTTATTTATATTATTAATTAACCATTGTTTCCAGTAACTTGTACAGAGCTTTCTGGCTAGGTTCTCGATCAGCAATAGTAAAAAAACTCTAGTTATCTTTTCCAAGTAAAAAGGTGTTGATATGACTTGCATCCTACTACGTGACTCGATTGGATGTACGTTTGGATTGTCGTTTTGGACTTGGTTGTAGTTGTTTTTCCTTTATCATATTGGATTAGAGTTAGACCATGGAGAAGTACTGTACTTTTCATACTTATATGTAATAGTATAATGAAACTGACTCTCTCCTGCTCGTGACTAGCTAACACATATTGTGTTAGTGAACCACATAAATCAGGTATCGTGTTTCGTCATTACTTTCGTATTCTTGCTTTATCGTTCCTCCTATTTGCTGATCCAAAGAGAATCAGTCGTGACTAGAAGGAACGGCTAGGTAGCTAGAAATGAATGCATTAATGGCGATGAGTGGTCAGTGGTGTTAGTTACAGTGTACGTAGTGGGTGGCTGGCTGATGAGTTGTCGCTGGTGGTGTGCAGTGCAGTGAATTCTCGGGGGCAGCTTTTTCTATCTTCACATGCAAAAGAATCTGCCATTCTTCGCAGGTGGGCTAGCTTGCCATAAACATGGCATAAATACACAGGCGCAGGTCTGCTGCTAGTTTTGCAGCCTTTTTCTCTCTTCTTTCTAATAACTAGCTATATTGCTCTGCTCTACCTATAAAGTTATAGCTCCATAAACCCACGCCTCGCCCCGCCTTCTTTCTTCTGCAGGCTATACATAGATAGATAAATATGTGCTTCTGTATTTTTGACAGCCAGCCACAGTGGGGAGTTAAACTACTCTACCCTTTCTGCAACAACAAATCTGTGGATCAAGTTCCCAAAAGCCCAGAAACGAAAAAGTACAATCAATTGATGATCAGAGGTATCTATCTCTCATCATCATCTTGATAAAGACTTGAAAAAATGATGATTAATTACAATAGAGATGATTACTGATCAAGTTTGGGTTAAGCTCATATGAGAGATGGGGATTGGGGGAGGTGCAACTAGGTTGAAGTTAGAAAAGACTATACCTTCAAAATGGTAAAATATAGGTAAAATTATTGTAACAAATTTTCTAGTTGGTAAGAATTTAATCCCTTCTCATCTTCAAATCAATCTTTCATTCCAATTTCTGACTCCATCACTATTTGTAACTAGCCTTCTCTATCCGAAGATCGACCTGCAAATAAACAATAGGCACTATATATCTACTTACGCACATAGTTGTGGTCAAATACGTACGGATCTTCAGTGGTGATGATCTCGGGTTTTGATATGGGAAATATAGTCTATCCATCTTTCACCATACAAAACCCAGAATATGGCGAGATCATTGAAGGGTAAAGAAGCAAAAGCGAATGGATTAAGCTTTTCAAGGAGGGAAAGCTGCAGCCAGCAGGAGTAATCAACGAGAAAGTATATAAATTAAAGAAAAACAAAATTGCGATCCTTTGTTATCTCCGCAAACACGCACAAAAATTTACCAGAAAAGACAGTAGTGCAAAGATATGAACGAGAGAGACAGAGAGGGCCAGAATTAGTAGCCAATAATAGCAAGGAGAAGCCGTAAAACTCAGGATGGATAGCGCCAGCCAAATACAAGAACGGGAATCCGTTTTTTTGTTGGCGCTATCCCTCCTGAGCTTCACAGCTTCGCCGACGCTGCTGCGCCTCCGAGGGGGGGAGAGAAAGAGACTGGAGGATGGTGGGAGATGAGAGATGAGGGATTATAGTGGAAATGAGAAGTGTGTAATTTATAAGCGAAGAGTAATACGGGTAATGGCATATGTCGTAATTTCGGTACTGGACTCGGCCGCCGGACAAGACACGAAATTGCGATGACCATGACCTTTTTTTTTTTTTTTTTGCCTTGGTTCTCTTGTTTCCTTCCTCGATTCAGGATATTTGCTGGTTTCTTTTATGATTTTATCGGAGTATTTTTTTTTATAGTTTTATTTGGGCTTTTTTTAGTTTCTAGAAAATTAAATGAAATGAAAGCAGAAATAGAATCGTTCAAGGTTTGGTGAATTGTTTTCCAATTGGTCAATTAAAAACTTGCAGTATTTTAATGCTAATTGCATTTTTCATCTTCTACGTAAGGATGACAATAAAACCTGAATTTACCTTTTCCAATTGTATGCTCTAGATTGGTGTTTTTTGTATGAGAAAATTTGTGTTAGACTTTTATTTTGAAAGAAACTTGTTATTGTAAATTTTTTACACAAAAATCCACGGGGACCCATGAACCCGCGGATACCCAGCAGATTGGGTTGGATTTAAGTTTTTCAAACCTTACGGGTTTTACCCCGAATTTTTTTTACGGATAAACCCATGGGTTTGGGTTTGAAAATTTTGATAAATCGAACTTAGTCAACGTAAATAAGAATCGAAAACACACGATATACGTGGTATCCCCGAGATTCGGGACTAGTCCACGGGAGAGTAGCCTCTCCGAGCTTGTATCTTATTCTCTGTGTAATCGAATGACGAGATACAGCCACATCCTGAAAGCAGAAATAGAATCGTTCAAGGTTTGGTGAATTGTTTTCCAACTAGCTTGTAACCCGGCCCGTTGGCCGGAATATTCATATTTGATTATTTATATTTTCATGTTAGGTTTAAGTCTATCAACTCGTTTAATTTTATTGACAATTCTTCAATTGAGATGATACATAAAGAAAGAATATACAGGTCGAACATTTCGATAAATATCATCATCATTTAAGAATATAAAATATAAAAATGTATCATCGAACCCATTTTCATAATGCCAATCCTACATAAAGGTTCAATGCTCTCCTTTTAGGAACAATATGCCACTAATCAAAAAGAAATTGAGAGTTGTTGATTAAGTCAACTATATACTAACAACTCAGCTAAGAGGAGACCATCAAAACTTGATAGCAAACGCCAAAATTAGGGTTATCTCAAATATACTAATAGACTCGATCAAAGTAACAAGGAACAAAATTAGACACTCATTCTCAATTAGTTCCAGAATGTTGAATAAAGAATCAATCGACCTACTTCAGTAAATCAATCGATGATTCCACGTTTTAAGATATAATTAGGTTGCGATAGTTGCAAAAATCATAAATCTAAAGATCCAATAACCACCACTCTCTTTTGCACAATAAAATTTTGATCCACTCTATCTTCAATCTCAAGAGGCGTATGTTTCAACGAAAAATTCAATTTCTAATCCTTCTTCTGCACCTCCATTTATTGAACTCCCTTCTATTCTACATGGATTGATATCAGAGTTGAAATATTTTGCTTGCCCAGTTTAAATCCCCAAGAATAAAATCGTAGTGTCAAGAGATACTAGAAGATTGATTTTCAAAGGCGGCCTTGTACTGTGAAGTGAAAGGGGTGCAAACTATTGCACGATGGAGGGAATTTCGGAGGAAGTTAGAAAGAAAGAAGAACAAAGATGAAAAGTACTAAATTTAAATATAAATTAAAAAATGCAAGGACACAACACGTAGTAATAAAATTAGTTTCTTCCAAGTTAGCCAATTATCAATTTACCTGTAGAGAAAATTAAGGAGAGAGCAGTAATATAATTAGTCCCTTTGGGGACATCCGATAAAATAGGAACGAATTAGTTTCTCAAATGTTAGCCAATAACCAATTTACCTTTAACAAAAATTAAGGAGAGAGCAGTGATAGAATTAGTTTCTTCTATATTAGCCAATTATTAATTTACCTTTAGCGAAAATTAAGGAGAGAGCAGTGGTTTTAGAATTGAGAAACTAAATTAAACTCTGCAATGAAAATTGCAATATCAAGCACCATAGAAATACATTCGGTAGACTTAGTGGGCTTGCTAATCATGATGGAAAAAGTCCTCTGATATTCAAAGAGTCATTTTGTGTATGTTTTGCATTGAAAAAGGTACAACAAATTTGTTTAGTGTCATTTGTTGTGATTGTTTACATTGTTTGAAGAGATCTGGGTTCAAATCTTGGTATTGACATTTTTTATATGGAATAAATAATTAATTGTAAAGACAAAAATGTCCTTCCTACTTTCACTCTCGTTGCAGAAAATTTGAAATAGAGAAAAGTAGACAAAACTCTACTATATATTGCTAGCTTTGCACCCGGTCCTTTGGCCGGGTGAGTTTTATTTGATTATTTATGTTACTTAAGTTAATTCTTATAATTACACTATTATTTTATATATTTTAAATATATTCTTTAAAATAATCTATTCTCTGACATCTGAGTTCAATATTGATCTACGAAAGGCTGAAATATTGCCTAACTTATCAAACAATCACTGAATACTCAGTCACCAATTTTATGTTTTCAACTATACTCCACTCCTAATCGAAAAATATTGAAAGTCGTTTAAATTGATAAATCGTAAATCGATTATAGACATATGTTGAAAATCCTTGTAATTTATTATGGTTATTTATGATGATTTAGTTTATAATGGTAACTATTGCAAAACAATCTATATTAAATCGTTTATCAGTTTTACAAAAAATAAAATCGTGAATCGTGAAGTGCCAATATAAGTATTTAGGTAAAAACCTTTAGCCTCCAAAATAATATTGGAACTAATATATTCAAGAGAAAAATATTGAAACTAATTATCTCTTACAATAACCTATAGTCAATAATCTGGTCCAGAAAAAAATTCCTTAAGAATGGTTTCATAATTTTTTTTCTTAATAGAAATAGAATTTGTCCAAAAAAACAATCCATCCCATTTAAATGAAAGCTTCTCGTTGTTAAAAAAACTATGCGTACATACATAATAATAAAAACATGGAATTTTTGGAAAACAATTTAACTACATGCTTACAAATCGGGATAAGGATTTTCCATTTCACACGAAAATTGAATGCAATTAAAGAAAATATATATATACTTTATTAATTTTTTATAGAAATTGGAATAATTCTTTTCCACTTGCTACAAAAGAAAAAGAAAATGGGGAAGGATATGTAAAAGGCCAGTTGATGAAAGAAAATCAATAAGAATTTAGGGGTCGTTTGGAAGTTGTGATTGTTAGCATTGTATTTGTTAAATACATGCATTGTCCACAATACAACGTTTGGAAGTGTCAAGTTGCAAAACAATGCATGTATTGTTTTGTGTGGGTCCCACCAACAATCAACAAAAATGATAGATTGTTGGTTTAATTATTGAGCACATTTACTTTTTCCAATTATGTCCATAGTTCTTTTTGTTTTATATTAAAAGTGGACGATAAATATGACATTTCCTTATAAAGTAACTTTATAACAATCAATTCATAAATTATAATCTCAACAACCAAAAAATGTAATTTCAAAATGCATCTATTGTATCAATGCATGCATTTATATCATAGTGATTCATAACAATACAACGATTTAAGATACGCAACTTCCAAACGACCCCTTAGATGCAGAAGAAGAGGAAGAGGAAAAATGGAGAAAGTGACAGGTTTCATAAAAAAAAGAAACTGAGAGAGAGAGAGAGTTGTGATTTCGTGAAAAAAATAAAGAGAGAGAAAGTGATGCTGACGTGGATGCATGATAGTGTAGGGAATTTGAAACGGAGAAGGCTTTATTTGGAAAAGTCTTATTATATTTTATAGATTAGATAGATAGATAGATAGATAGATAGATAGATATATAGAAGATTGGAGGATTGGTCAATCAAAAACTTGTAGTATTTTAATGCTAATTGCATTTTTCATCTTCTACCTAGTATGTAAGGATGACAACAAAACCCGAACCCACGGGTATCCTACCCGACCCAACCCGGTCAACGTTGGTAAAACCCGTGTTGACGGATTTTGGATTGAGTTTGGGTTTAAACCCACTACACTGTTCACGGGTTGAGTTTGTGTTTAGGTATATCCGCCCCATGGGTACCCTCCCACACCCATATAATTAATTTTTTCGGTATAAATATTCTAAGCAATATATATCTTTCTTAAATAACTAATCTTCTTTATGTTTGTGGAGGCATGTCTAATTTGTTCTTTCTAATTGTGTAGAATGAAGTTGATATTATGGAGTGGAGATTGAAGAAGCTTAGTTGACAAGGAGGAAGAAGTTTTCAATTAATCATGTTGTTTATAGATGTTTATCTTTAACTTTGAACAATTTGTATTGATAATTTGCGATTTGCTTGTATGCTCTAGATTGGTGTTTTTTGTATGTATAATTTGTATGAGAAAATTTATGTTAGACTTTTATTTTGAGAGAAACTTGTTATTGCAAATTTTTTACACAAAAATCAACGGGTACCCATGAACCCGCGGATAGCAAGCAGATTGAGTTGGGTTTAAGTTTTTCAAACCCAACGGGTTTTACCCCGAATTTTTTTACGGATAAACCCATGGGTTTGGGTTTGACAAAACCCGCCCCAACCCGACCCATTTCCGTCCCTACTAGTATGCACTACTTTTTTATTTTACAAAGAGATCGAATGCTTGTCATGCATTTTATTAGAGAAAACAGTTATGAAGGAATTACACAATGAAGGTTGATAGAAGGTCAAGTATGATGGTTGAGTTCGAGAGAGAGAGAGCATTCTTAACGAGAGTTTTGGCAATCCAGTTAATTGGGGAAAAAACATTTTCTAGGAATACAATACCTTGATGAAAGGATAGAGAGCAAAGATGTCACCATAACACCAATCCACGCCGAAAAAGTACATGACCGAGAGATTAGAGTGCTAACTCATAGCACCGTGATAACTACTCTAATCACCGTTTATATTTTTAAGTTGAATCTGACAGTGGTTAGTAATGAAGAGCTTGTTCAATATTTCACAAAATTATAAATAATAAATATATTTTCTCTCTCCTCTAATTATTAGTCATTTTTTCGATAAATATGAATTTGGGGTTGATAGTAGTGTTTTAGTGAATTTAATTGTTATCCGTAGTGATTTAGAAATTTTCTAGTAGTGATTTAATTATTATCAGTACTGATTAGAAATTTTCTAGTTGCAATTTAATTGTCATTAGTAGTGATTTAGGAATTTTTTTGTACTGCTATATTTCTTGTGTAGCAATTTATATTACCTGTGTAGTGATTAAAATAGGTAGTTACACAAGAATCACTACTAAACCATAAAATCCTCAATCAAATATGTAAAATTGATACTAATATAAACCATTGTTATTCAAAATAATTACCACAAATCCGAAAACACTACTACAAATATGGAAAATTACTATCACATATCTGTAACAACTCCCATTGTCACCGTAGATCTAATTGTGGAATCTAGAGAGGAGATCGATATGGCGCCGTGAGGGTTGCGTTATCACCGCTGGAAGAGCTCCGCCAACGTTGTAGAGATCCGCCAATTTTGACGGCTGGAAGAGATGCGCAAACATGACGCCGACGTTGCTGGGACGAATATGAGAATTGACATCGATGCGCGCATGATGACGGCGAGAGAGTATGGCGTTGACGGCGCCGTTCCTAAGTTGTTCTGGGCGGCTACCCTCGGTAATCGGCCAGCAAAGAGGCGGAAGGGACGGCACGACGAAAGCGAGTCCGACGAGAGCGATGACAAGGCTGGTGCGAGCGATGGCGTCACGACGGAGAAGGAAGATGCAGGGGATCATACGGTTTTTGGCGGAGAGAAGAAGATAGTTTCTGGCGGAGAAGGAGGGGAAAAGAAGTTGCGGGCGAGAGAGAAGTGAGAGGTAGAAATCTGTATTTATATTAGGGTTAAAGAATATATTGCCTAAACTGCCTTTTATTTAATTCTAATCCTAGGATTAGTTTTTTAATCTAACGATAATTAGGTTAGTTAGTACAGTGCTAATCCCTTAAAGGGTTATCAACTAAACTCATCCCTTATGAGAAGGAAGGGAGGGAGAGAACCTTGATCAATGACTGGCAGTCCAACTAAACTATGCATGGGGAGTTGAAGTGGCTCTCTATGAGAGTCATTTATGAATGACCATTCATAGTGTAGGTGAATCTAAAAAATTACTGAGATTACTTGGTGGTAAACTATTTGATTATGGCATTCCCTGAACTAACAAAGACGAGACATGATATTGGGCCATGAGATCTAGCAAAAGAGATATCTAACAGCAGGTGCATACAAGTAGGTGTGCCTTCGAGTTCTTCGATCAAGACGTAGTGCATATTAGAATGACTCTGTGAGTGGCTCGGATTACACCGCGAATTAAATTCCAACTAGCACCCAAGTATAAACCCTAGTCGGGTGCAGTATATGGCTAATATGTTTTAATTGTCAAACCCCGGCCGTTCCATGTACTCCTACTTCAATCACTTAAGTTGTTATCTAGCAAAACGGTTTTGGTTATTTAAAGCTAAAGAAAGTACAAATGAACACAAACAAGAAAAATTAAATCGAGGAGAATTCTATATGAGAGGACTTCACCCGGGTATTGCTCCCCCTAGTCATGTATTAAGAAACCATGAACGAAACTCTAGTGCGAAGGATGTGTTCATATACCGCAAGGCGGGTGCAACTATATATAGATAGGAACAAGCCCTCCTAGTCGATCAATCAAGGATTGCTACAATAAGCTAGGGAGCCTAACTCTCTTAACCGCTCGGCTAAAGATTGCAACAATAAGCTAGGAGGCGTAGCTTCGCAATCAAAAACTAGCAAGCTCCCCGACTAGGGGTGTTCAAATGGTTATCATGGTAATTATCAAACCAAATAAGTATAAATTGTATGTATTAACCATGGAATACAATATCATAACTAAACCATTCAGACTAATACAACAACCAAATTAACCAAACTAAAATTAAATCGGTTTGGTTAATTGGTTATCCAGATTAACCAATATAAATCACATTATCATTAAATGAGAAAATTTTCCGGTTAATGCATTAATTCACAATTTATATAGTAAATAAAACATAACAATCAACACATAGTTATAGTTAACCTTTAACGTAACATAAATACATGCAACTAATATAATTATCTTACAGTTAATAGATGTATCCACCTAACAAAAATATATGCCAGTGGTTAGAAAGTTAATGAATTGTTGGGTTTGTGTGAATTGACATAATCTCTTTTATTATAGGTTGAAAAAGACCTTCCTTAAAAATATACAATACATGAATAATTATATTGAGCTTTACTCTTTATGATTCTAAAATGGATGAACATTTGACAGTCGAGTGATTATTCAAAGTATGAAGTATGTATATACAATATATATTAGATATGGTATAGTAAATTACTTAACATGTTAATTTGGTTTAATTGGTTAGGAGTATGTGAAACCAAACCAAACAACCTAAACCAAACAAGATACAAAGTTTAACCAAACTAGACCAATTATCTAAATTAACCAAACCAAATTATCAAAATACTACTGATTAAAACGGTTAACACGATAACCACTATATTTGAACACGGGTACCCCGACTCGGTAAGAGCTCCCTCTAATCCAATAGTACTCGTCTTGAAATATATACACTTAAACAGTATAATATGTTGGTTTGTCCCCTGATATATATATATATATATATATTTACAAGAGGACACACTTTGTGCCCTAAAGCTGGGATATCACATCAGTCGCACACCTCTCAAAACACACATCCAAAACGAGATCCATCTCCTCGTCCCCGTTCCCAGGCCCAGCGGCCCCCTATAGCTCTCCACAAATATTCTAGACTAATAAATAAATCATGTAAATGGCCAACCAACCAGAATGGGCTATCGTTGGATTGCATATACATTTATAGGGTATCCTCTTTTAAAAAATAAATTTAATAAAAATAAAATTGTAAATATGAAAATACTTTACGTGTACAGGTTAAAAAAGTCCATGATGTGTTTTCATATTCGGAAATAATTGTAGAATACACTTGATGTCTATATTGTTTAAAAAAATTGTCTATATATACACTACTAGACAATCATTCACGAACTTATCGCATATTCGATTTGTAAACTTGTTCTTGATGTAACCCAAAGCTGAAAAATTCTTTCAACACTTGTCGTACAATCATAAAATCAAATACAAATTAAGGGTAATTTGAAATTAGTTTAATTGTTAGGTTTTTAAAATAAATAGAGATAGGGAATGCCATTTTACTATTACAGATTGTTCAAAATCGAACAACAAATGATTTTAGCTCAACGGAAATTAAGTTTATTAATAATAGTGTTCTAGATTTATATTATCCAACCTACCACTTATATTCCTATACACAAATGACAGTAGGATAATTATTTTTTCAAATTTAAGGGGTGTCCCTCACTATCAATTATATTTATTTTTTTTTGGTCCATACGTAAATTACCACCGGGGGTTGGATAATCGTTATTCCAAAATTTGGAAGTGTCCGGGACACCCTAAACCCCCTGGGTCCGCCCCTGCAAAATCTGCTGGCCTTACAAACTCAACTTCCACCATCATCTTCCAGCTCTGATCACGACATGGAAAAGGCACCCATTTATATGGGTATTAATTAATTAACCATTGTGTTGCAGTAACTTGTGCAGAGCTTTCTGGCTAGCTAGGGTTCTCGATCAGCAGCAGTGAAAACTCTAGTTATCTTTTCCAAGTAAAAAGAAGGAACGTCTAGGTACGTAGCTAAAAATGCATTCATGGCGATGAATGGTATGTGTGGTGTTAGTTACAGTGTACGTAGTGGTGGGCTGGCTGATGAGTCGTCGCTGGTGGTGTGCAGTGCAGTGAAGTCTCGGGGGGGCAGCTTTTTCTATCTTCACATGCAAAAGAATCTGCCATTCTTCGCAGGTGGGCTAGCTTGGCATAAATTTACAGGCGACGCAGCTCTGCTGCTAGTTTTGCAGCCTTTTTCTCCTCTTTCTAATAACTAGCCATATAGCTCTCTACCTATACAATTATGGCTCCATAAAACCACGCCCCGTCTTTTTTCTTCTGCAGGTTATATGTTGACATATATGTGCATCTGTGTGCTTTTGACAGCCACGGACAGTTGGCAGTAATACTACTCTACCCTCTCTGGCTCCCTGCAACAACGTACCAACCTGTGGTTCAAGTTCCCAAAAGCCCAGAAACGAGAAAAGTAGGCACCTATCTTTCACCATCGTCATAAACACTTGAACAAACGATAATATATAGGTAAAATTACTGTAACAAAATTTATCATAGTCGGTAAGACTTTAATCTCTTCTTATTAACCGTCCTTGTTAATTAATTAATTAATTAATATATAAAAATTTAGGTTTGAGTTATTATTTATTAGTGGCTCTCACACTCCTCCAATTGCAAGTGGGGAAGTTCCAACTCATTCTTTTACCCCACTATCTAACTCTATATCCTATGTGATCATCTATTGTTTGTTGGGTCTACATCTATTGCCAATTAGTTCTCTAATGTTAGGTTTTTGTGTATTAATTGTCTGCTAAGTTTTCATCTATTGTTCATTGGTTTCCCTATTTCAACAATTACTCATCTCGAAACACTATCGACGAAATCATAAGTTGTCATCTTCCACCTTTGCCACGACTACTATCGAAGATCCATACCATATCTATTATGCGCAATCCTTGCATACGCCCAATAATGTACCCATCCACTGTGTTTCAAAACCACTACAGAAAATCTATACCAAATTTGCTTTGTGTTACCCAATTTGGTATCTCTGGACTAAGTTGCATATTTTTTAGTATTTTCTTATCCCTCTTTTTCGTTTTGGTTAAGCATGACAATTAAACTCAAACTCATGGGTATCCAACATAATTCGTCCAAGTCAAAGCGACTTAGAACCCGATTTTAGTAATTTTGAATTTCTATATTTTTTCCTTTGTTCATAATGATAATTGAACCCAAACCTATGGTATTGACGAGTTTTGTATTGAGAGCGAGTTTTATATGCTTTTGTAGTTAATTGGTAGGTTGGGTCGAGTGTGAATTTCTTCAAAACTCGATTCGACCCGGTCAAAGCAAGCTGAACACGGTGTTGAAGAGTTTTTTATGAGAGCGAGTTTTGTCCGCTTTAATATTTTTTTTTATTCCTCCTTTTTCTTTTGGTTGAGAATGACAATAGAACCCGGACCCGGTGCTGACAAGTTTTGTATAGAGAGTGCGTTTTATATGGTTTTAGATATGACATGTTGAGCCGAGTGTGAATTGTTAAAAACTCAGTTCGAACCAATCAAAGCGAGTGAACTTGGTGTGTAGAGTTTTTGGTAGGGAGCGAGTTTATCCGTTGTAGTGGTGTTTTATTTATCCTTTTACTTTTGGTTTATAACCAAACCTATTGGTATCCAACCTAGCTAATTCAACATGATCAAAACGAATTGAACCCGAAGTTTACAAGTTTTCATACGGGAGTGGATTTTATTTGCTTTTGTAATTGGTGGGTCGGGTCGGTTGTGAATTTGTTACAAACTCGATTCAACTTCAACCTGATCAAAGAGAGTTTAACATGAAGTTGCTGAATTTTGGGTCGTGAGCGAGCTTTATCCACTTTAGTGTTTGTGTTAATTTCTCCTTTTTTTTTAGAATGAAATTGAACCCAAACGAATGGGTATTCAACCTAATTCGATCTGACAAAAGTGAGTTGAACTTCCTCAAACCTGCTAGTAATCCCAGAAATCAATAAAAAAGGAGAAACAAGATGAACTTAAAAAAAAACAAAGCAAAAAGAAGCTAAACTAGAGAGAAGATAAATATAGAAATCATTTGCTCGATGATCTTTCTCCCTTATTGAAGTTCATCACTGCGTCGACTATATGGAGTTGTAGATGACAAACTCTTTACTTTTGGGTGAAAATTCAAATTGTCAATCTTTAAGATATCATGTTCTCGCTCAACGCGAAGCGATAGAGAGCGGACTTATGCTACTCGTTTGTAAAGGGTAAAGAAGAAAAAGAAAAAGCGAAGCTAGAGCCGGAGGAGTAATCAACGAGAAAGTATATAAATGAAAGAAAGAAAACAAAATTATATATTAATCCATTGTTATCTCCGCAAACACGCACAAATATTTACCGGAAAAGACAGAGACATGA